CCCCCCCCCCCCCGCCCGCGCCCCGCGCCACCCTCAGAGGACCCGAATTAGAACCCGCCTAGTATACCTACTCACAAATGGTACTGTCTCTTGTTTTATTTATACAAACTTATCTTTTTAAAAAAAGGTAAAAAAACGCTAAGAGTGCGTGTTTTTCGTAAAGAATCATTTGGACCGATTTCACCAACGCCAATTACTTAATTGGCCGTGGAACTGACTAATCGTGTTTGCTGTTTAGTAGAATCAGTAACAAAATTACTTTTTAAAAAAGGTAAAAAAAGGCGCTAAAAATGTGCTTTTCGAATAAAACTTAAGTATTCAACCCAATTAATAGTAATTTTAATTTTTCTTTAAAGATATTCTTATTAAAGGTCTTTTTAATTTTTATTCTAATCCAAGTAATAGCAACTTTAATTCTCGATCAAAAATTACTACTCCTTGAAAAAACTAATGTATCAAATGAAAAATTAAAACCCAGATGCTACAATCTTAACTAATCAAGTTAAATTCTATCAAATTAAAAAGTAAAACGCAAGTGATACTATCTTTTGTTACTTAACTCTAATGATATGTATCATTTGTATAAAAGATTCGATATCAATAATTGGCGCCTAGTTAAATTCCATACGAAATTAAATAAATAATATAAATAAATTTAAACTTTTAGAGGTGGCTTAAAAATGCAAAATATAAACAATAGGGAGCATACAGCCATAACACTATATGTTTTTAGCGAAAGTCATATATTTAAAATTATATAATGATAAAGTAGACGTTTTAATTCTTGACTAGTGTTTATTGTTAATATTCTTTAATTTATGTAACATCTTTATATTTTAATGTACTTATGGTCAAATCTTGACCGAAACATCTAGTGCTGTGGCTGTATACTCCCTATTATTTATATATTAAATAGTATAAACTAATTGTACGTATCATTCGTATAAAAGATTTGATATCAACAATTGGTATATAATAAAGTTAAAGAAGTAAACACTTAACGCTGCTGGATCGAATAATAAAACTATCAAAGCAATTCAAAAATTATAATAGCAGTTAAAAAAATAAATAATAAAAAATAATTACAATTTTAATGTAATAATGAATTTAATCTGAATTTTTTTACACTTAATAAAAATTGAATTTACTGTTTATTTTTTTTTCTTTTTTATAACACAAGTCTTGATCCAAACTAATTTATCTTAAATTTAAACCTAATAGCTTGCACAACTTTTGTAACTTATACGACAGTTTAACCCAAAATTTACCAAAAGTTAACCTACGAAAATATACTTACACTAGATACTTTTACTCTCATGAAAGTATTTTTTATTTTTCTTATGTATATTTTCATGTTTTTAGCACCATGTTATACCCTAATCTAGCAACGCCAAGTGTTTACTTCTTTAACTTTTTGTAACACTTGAATGGACAAGGTAATTATGAATTGTATTCGTTACTTAATTTGGTATGGGATTTAAGTTGACGCTAGTTGTTGATATTAAATCTTTTATATGAATAATACATATCATTAAAGTTGATATTATTTATTTAATTTGGTATCCGAATTACATGGGATTTAACTTCGCGCCAATTGTTGATATCAAATCTTTTATCCGAATGATACATATTATTAGAGTTAAGTAACAAAAGATAGTACGACTTGCGTTTTACTTTTTAATTTAACTTGATTAGTTAAGATTGTAGCATTTGGATTTTAATTTTTCATTTGATACATTAATTTTTTCAAGGAGTAGCAATTTTTTACAGAGAATTAAAGTTGCTATTACTAGGATTAAAATAAAAATTAAAAAGACCTTCAATAAGAATATTTTTAAAGAAAAATTAAAACTACTATTAATTGGGTTGGATACTTAGGTTTTATTCGCAAAGCACATTTTCTTAACGCCTTTTTTTATCTTTTTTAAAAAGATAATTTTGTATTGATTCTACTAAACAGCAAACAGTCAGATTAGTCAGTTCCACGGCCAATTAAGTAATTGGCGTTGATGAAACCGGCCCAAATGATTCTTTATGAAAATCACACACTCTTAGCGCTTTTCTTTTTATCTTTTTTTGAAAAGGTAAATTTGTATAAATAAAACAAGAAACAGTACCATTTATGTTTTACTTTTTAATTTGACACAATTGAATTTAATTAGTTAAGATGTAGCATCTGGATATTAATATTTCATTTGATACATTAATTTTTTTCGAAAAGTAATAATTTTTTACAGAAAATTAAGTTGCAATTACTTGGATTGGAATAAGAAGACCTTCAATAAGAATATTCTTGAAGAAAAATTATAACTAATATTAATTAGATTGGATAGTAAAATTTAACTTGATTAATTAAGATTATAGCATCTGGATTTTAATCTTTCGTTTGATGCATTAATTTTTTTTGAAAAGTAATAATTTTTGACAGAGAATTAAAGTTATCATTACTTGGACTGGAATAAGAAGACCTTCAATAAAAATATCCTTGAAGAAAAATTAAAACTACAATACTATTAATTGGATACTTGGGTTTTATTCGAGAAGCACGAATGCGCCTTTTTTTACCTTTTTTGAAAAGGTAAGTTTAATATTACAAAGAACAATTCCACATCAAATATAAACGTTTCGGTTTTAATTAGACCATCTTCAGTACATACACACACACACACATATATTAGGTGTACAAAAAAGTTCTGAGCTTTAGATTTGATACAACCGAAATAACAATTTAAATTTTATATATCTTCCCGCCCTTTTGGGGTTTTAAAACAGTAA